TTGAATAATCTTTTATAAATTTTCTATAGTACCCTGATAAACCTAAAAAGATTTTGATTTCTTTTGGATTTGAAGGAGTTTTAAATTCATTAACGGCTTTTATTTTTTGAAGATCTGGTAATACACCATTAGCACTTATAACATGACCTAAATATGAAATTTCGTGCATTAAAAATTGACATTTATCTGGTTGTAATTTTAAATTATGCTCTCTTAATTTCTGAAAAACTTCTATTAATTTATCGTTATGTTCGTTTAACGTTTTTCCATAAACAATTATATCATCCATATAAACCAATGTTCTTAAACCTTGTAACCCTGATAAAACTGAATTTGTTAATCTTTGTAATGTAGCAGGACCACCTTTTAGTCCGAATGGTAATCGTTTACGAGTATATTCAAAATGACCTAAATCTGTTGAAAAAGCTGTTTTTCCTCTATCTTCTTTATTTAAAAGTACTTGGTGAAATCCTTGTGCTAAATCTAAAGTTGTAAAAAATCTTGAATTCCCTAACTGATCGATTATATCGGCAATATTGGGCAAAGGAAAAGCGTCTGATTTAGTTACCGCATTTAATTTCCTGAAATCTACACAAATTCTCCATTTATTATTACCTTGGCTATCTGGTTTTTTAGGAACTAAAATGAGAGGAAAATTCCACGGACTTTGAGATTTTTGGATGATATCATTTTCTAACATTTTACTAATTTGATCTTTAATTTCATTTTTGTGAGCATGTGGTAGTCTATATGGTTTTATGTAAATTGGTTTAACATCTTTTTCCAAAGGTATACTATGTGTTAAAGTATCTGTATGTGTTAATTTATCATTTTCTAAAAAAAACAAATCATTAAAATTTCTACAAATTCGTAAAATTTCTTCTCTTTCTAATTTAGTCATATGTTCTGTTCTGATACAACTTAAAACATTTTGGATTCTTTTATTAGTTGTTTGAAAATTATTCGAATTTTTAATTGCTTGAGTAAAAAAACATGCTAAGTCAATATCTGAATTAGTTTCAGAATTTTGTGTATTATTTTCTAAAATTTCATAATTTTCTAAATCTTCAAAGCTTATGTCACTTTCACTTAAAATTTGTTCCGATTCTGTTGGATTAATTACGTTTATGTGCGCAAAATTTACATTTGGTTCAATAATGCAATTTCCGATAAATAAACCTGAATCTAGATATTTTGCTAAACATATTTTTGGTTTATTAAAATTTGTTCTAATTTGTAATAGCTTCTCAACTCTTGGAGGTATGATGTAATCATTAGAATTGAATAATTTTGTACAAATTTTTTGATTTTCAAAATTTAGCGTAACTAACTTGGTATCTATATCGATAATAGCTTTAAACTGTGTTAGAAAGTCTCTTCCTATTATACCTATTTCTTCCGTAGGTAAATTTCTAATAACTTGAAAAGGAAATTCGATTTTATGTCCGTTAAAATCTAATTCTAAATATATAACACCTAAAGTTTTAATTATATGATTTGTAATTCCACCAATATCTATACTTAGTTTTGTATAAACAATTGAGTCTAAATCTAATTGTTTTAAATCTATAAAAGAAACATCACTACCTGTATCGACTAAAAACTTTGAATAAGGATTACATGTATTCGTAGTAGATAATTGTATAATATCAAGGTTTTTGTAATGGTTGGAAAGAAAACTTTTTGGAATTTGATGTTTTAATTCAACAAAGCCCGAGTTGAAACGGGCCCCAATCCGTTTTTTGGATTTGAAGTTTGGGGTTGTGATTCTTGTATATTTGATACTTGTTCGTTACTACTTTCTAGTACTGTATTATTTGTATGACAGTAATTACATGTCTGTCTGTTTTCGTTAAGAGTAGTAGAAGTTTTTGATGCGTTATAGTGATTTCGATTTGTATTAAAATCTCTTCTGTTTCGATTTCTACACTCAGAAATTAAATGACCTGGTTTTTTACAATAGTTACAAAACTTTTGGTTATTATTATTTGAATTAGCATTATTCTTTTTATTTAAGAAACATTGTGGAGCAATATGACCACGTTTTTTGCAAATGTAACATATTATATTATTATTTTGATTATTTCTGATATTTGACGAATTTTGACTAGCTTCTTCTTGCAAAGCGAAGTCAACAGCATCTTTAATATCAGAAAATCGACAGCATTTTACTAAAGTTTTTAACGGTTCTCTTAAGCCATTTTCAAAAACTTTTACACTCATTTCTACGTATGTCACTTGTGTAATGTTCGCTGCGTCTTGTCCTATTGAATTTATATTTGAATAATAAATTTGTCGCAAAATTTCTTCTATTCTGTCTCCAAAACTTTTTACTGTTTCGTTATATTTTTGTTTTAAATTGTTCAATTCGTTTAATAAACTAGAAATGGGTCGTTTTACAACATATTCTTTAGCTAAATAACATTTTAAATCTTCCCACGTTTCAAAATTAATAAATTGGATTTTTGCAAAAATTTGTGGGTCTAATTTTAATTTTATAACTGTAAGCAATTTTTCCGCTTCTGATGGACTCAAATACACCGATAATGCATCGCATGCAGTAATAAATGAAGGAAGCATTGAAGGTTCCCCATTGAAATTCGGAATTAAAGTGATAGCAGTTTGAATATTTAATTTACCTTCGCGCGACATATCTACTGGTTCATTCATTTTTGAAAAATATGTGTAAAACTACTAAAACAGAAGCGCAAAAATTTACAAAAATATGTTAAAAATAAGCTTACTGACAATGAGTTGTATTCCTCTCTTAATTTAATATACTTTTGGTTCACTCGAATTCACAATCACTTAAACTTTTGTAACCTTGAACAATGATTATATCACTTTTTCATAACACTTTTTATTTTATTTTTCACCTTTAACTTTTCACTTCTAAATATAACACTTTGAACTTCTTGATTCTTCTTCTTGATTTATATTATCTTCTTTCTCTTCTTTGTTTCTTGATTATTAATTTGATTTTCTTGTTTCTTCTTATTACGACTTTCTCTTTTCTTTGTTTCTTGATTCTTCTTGTTACGTTTTTTCTCTTTTCTTACTTCTTGATTTTTGGAGTCTTCACTTTGTAATTTCAATAATATTTCCACTTCGGTAAAGCTTTTTACCTTTTCTTGAATCTAATTATTGCTATATTTCGGCGTATTTTTCTCAAATATCCGTTTTCCAAATATGCAATAATTCTATGTTCAAGACATGTTATGGTAAATAATTTAGCATTTTTTTTTAAAAAAAATTCGCAGAATTCCACACTGCCACCAATTTATGTTGTGCACCCCTGGGTTAACAACAATTTATGTTGAGGCCGTTACCAACAGTTATGTTGCGTCCAATCGATGCCAACAATTAAAATTTAGGTTCTTCTGCTGCTAAGCTTCACTGTGGAATATTTAATCAAACATCTGAAGACTTTTATTAATTTTTATTTAATTCATTACTTGGTTACACTTAATACACTATTGATATTTTGAATAAGAGTGATGTGAACTGTTTGGCTTTTAGTCAACAAGTGCGCACTCATTCCCTCGTCTTCAGGCTTTTATAATCTCTGATGATGACGCAATCATCCTTCCAGAAAAATACGTTAAAATGATTCATACTTGTTTACTTTAGACGCAAAACCCTACAAAACCGTTACTGACATGCATACAATGTTGCAACGGCCATGCGTCATTCTTATCTCTGATACAATCTATGAGCTGTAAGCCAACAACGTATTGCGTCTTTCATATTGATTGTTACATCAATTTACAATATTATTCATAATTATTGTAAAGGGTGAATACCACTACAATATATATATATATATATATATATATATATATATATATATACATATTAGAGATGGGTAACTCACTCCGGAGTTATCACTCCGATACAACTCCTCCCTCGGAGTGAATCCGAGTGGAGTTGTTTCACAGGATTTGTCATATCCGACTTCCTTAAACTGGTATTAAATCTTTTAACTTGTGCAGACATTTACTGTTGTTGGCGTTTTTGCCTTGGGAAGGATGCGGTCGCTTTCTCGCCTCACAGCTCACAGGCAGTTTTATGATCTTTTTAGGTATAAAATAATACCATTGTGTGTTTTCCAGAAAATACAAAAATATTACTTCAAAGATACAGAACAATGAAATTGTGTTCAAGTGTGAATAGCTCCAATGTATAATTTATTGAATAGTAAGGGGTCATATTTTTAACTACGATAATCTTTGACCGTGAATGACGGCAAATAAGGAATATATACAAATAAGGAATACATACCGAAAAGTACACGTAACGAAATACATTTAATCTGGTTTTTCCATAGCCTGAAATAACACTTTAGAGTGCAAAATTTATCAGTGATGTCAATAGTATTTAAGCAGCATAAAATATTTAGTATTATATTATTACTTTTACACAATTATATAATTGTGTAGAAATAATAATATGCTAATCGAACTACCTGGTATAATATTAATTCTCGAATGGAAATAGTAGAAGAAAAATTTAGAAAGCAGAAGTATTATGTTTTGCTTTTATTACAAAGTTTACTACATATTTTTTATATAAAATTAATCCAAAAAATCAATTTTCTCATCAAAAGGAAATAATTAAATTGAATTTGATTCTCACGTTTTGAGTTTTTACTTTGGTCAACACTGCTAAAATTACGAGTCATTGAGTCGATCATCTGGTCGACCGAAAAATTTTACAACCCGTCATTTATTTGTGAATTTTTTAGAAAAAATATTTTATTGATATTTATTCATAAATTTTCTTGTCGACTGATGCCTAGTAGACTTTTTATAGCAAAAAATTACAAGCTAATTTTTAGTAGGACTCCGTCTTCGACATCAGTTCTATCTTAGTCTTCTCGACGATAGCAATAGTTTTTTTAACATTTTGAAAGTTACCAAGCAATCGAACAATAAACTTTTGTGTTAATGTGTAATATACACTTTGTATAACAAAATCAGTGATTGCAAGTGATTAGTAAAATGGCAATGAGACGTAAAACCAGTACTATCTGGAATCATTTTTCCTTAAAAGATAATAAAGCAAAGTGTAATTATTGTGCGGATTTTTTAAGCATTTTATCTTCAAATACTGGAAATTTAATAAGACATTTGAAAAGAAAACACCCCACTATATCGATTTATCCGGCAATGCGTCGCGAGACTGTATTATTGGATAATATGTTGGCGTTAAAAACTTCAGAAGCTGGTACATCAGATTCAAATCCAATTAATACAATGAAAAATAATTCTAATGTTATCAGTAATTATTTGCAAAATACTAATCCTTTATCCATGCGCCAAATTGCTGAAATAGATGCACAATTGATCAAGATGATTGCAAAAGAATATCATTCAATGCAAATCATTGAAGGGACTGAATTTAGAATGCTATTGAAGTTGTTAAATCCAAGATATAATGTACCGAATCGAAAAACATTGGCTAAAACTTTATTGCCACAGATGTATGAAAAAGAATTAAATATAGTGCGTGAAAAAATAGCAAAAACGACTTCAATATGCCTCACAACTGATGCGTGGACATCAATAACTAATGATAGTTATATGGCAATAACGGCACATTATATGGGTGAAAATGGTAATTTATGTGTTAATTTATTATGCTGCGTGCAATATAATGAAAGACACACCAGTATAAATGTAAGCAATTTCTTAAGAAATGAATTAAATAAATGGAATTGAGGCCGTGGTAAGCGATAACGCGCCAAATATAGTTGGGGCAATAAATATTGGAGGATGGCCCCAAATAGGTTGCTTTGCGCATGCATTAAATCGTGTCGTTTTATCAGGAATTACTGAAATACAAGTAATTATTACAAAAATAAAACAAGTGGTAGAATATTTTAAAAGAAGTTCACAAGCGCAAATAAAATTGTTAGAAATGCAAAAACAACTGAATTTGCCAGCGTTGAAACTGAAACAACATGTGATAACAAGGTGGAATTCAACGTACGATATGTTGAATCGTATTCACGCAATTAAGGAAGCTGTAATCGCAACAATAGCGCTTATTAGAAGTGATATTTTAATAAGTTCAAAAGAGTGGGAAATAGTTGAACAGAATAGTTTTACCTATTCTGAAAGCATTTTATGAAGTGACAACTGAAATATCTGGTGATAAATACGTGACATTGTCTAAAATAATTGTATATTGTCGCATTTTATGTCAACATTTGGACTTTCATAAAGATAGAGAAACAATACCGATTATTAAAAAAATGGTAAAAAATTTAAATGATGCCATGCGTAAAAGGTTTTACGACAAATGTAACGTGGAATCAAATAAATTATATGCTGAAGCCACAATACTAGATCCCAGATTCAAGAAAAACGGATTTAGTGATATAACAAAATATGAGAAATCAGTTGCAAATTTAAAAAAAAAATTTGAAGAAAATTGTTTGGATCTCCAAGTAAAAAATATGACTAAACAAACGGAACATTCATTGTCAGAATCTGTATGGCAATACTATAATTCCGGAAATTCCGTAAGTGAATATAGGTCGCATGTAGCTGCAGGTGTTATTGAATTAAATAGATATATTAATGAGCCAATAGTAAGTCCTAACAAAGATCCATTAAAGTGGTGGTACTCAAACAAACTAATTTATCCTAATTTGTATCAATTGGTATTGAAAAGATTAAATATCATAGCAACTTCTGTGCCTTGTGAAAGAATTTTTTCAAAAGCAGGGCTTACATTGACTGAACGAAGAACCAGACTAAACCCAAAGCATTTGGCTGAACTATTATTTATCGGCAGTAATACAGAATCTTCTGTTATTAACTTCCCGTAGGGTAAGTTATAGTAATCGCAAAAAAATAGAAAATGAAAATTTTTATATATCTTTACGTTTCAGAGGTTTCTGAATATTTTGGCATACCTTAGAAAAAATGGATGTATGTGTGTGTGTGTGTGCGTAGTATGTATGTGTGTGCGGATACAAATTTTCGTTCGTACGATTTCGGGAACACGAATGAAGCAATTTGAATAATTCAATACGTATTGATAAGGAGACGTGGTGATTAGTTTTTGGCGGAGGTAGGTCTAGCCGTTCCGAAGATATGGGGCAAAAAGTGCCAAAAACGGTACCTCAGTTTTTAATAGAACGGAGCGTCCGAATTTAAATATTCAAATATTTTACTTGTATTAACAAGATGAAGATTTGATCAAATTTTTATAAGGGCAGGTTGAGCGGTTTCGGAGATCTAACGAAAAAAGTAAAAAAAAATGCCATTTGGCGGTCAAAAATGATCATTAGACATATGCACATCAAATTATCAGATATTTTACAGAGATTTTAACAATAAGTAAAAATTTTGTTTACATTCCTATGGGTTCCGTACCAATGTTTACCCGTTAGACAGCGACGCGGCGCTTACGCGCTTTATATTTTGTCTCTATGCATTTAAAGCAGTACGATTGCTTTGAAAAAAAGTTCAGATCTTCCAAAATATGTCAAAATATAGAAAACATTTTTTTTTAAAAAAATATTTTTTTTTTAATTTTTTTTTTTTAATTTTTTTTTTTCAAAAAAAAGTAATTTTTTGTCCAATTTATAGTTTCTCAAAAATCTTATTTTTTGGAAGTAAAATTTTTTCAAAAATGTATCGTTTTTAAAGAATAATAATTTTTGGTACGGGAAGTTCCAGCAATTTGCCTTAAGGCACGATGCCCTAATTGCCTTAAGACAGAATTCCACTTACAGCTAGTTTAATATAAATTTATCATCTTTAATTTATTTCAGGCTCAAAAAAATATTGTAACTCATTTAGATTTGTGATATATAAATATAAATGTTTAATCTCAAAATTTGTAGATAATTTGAAAATAAAAATACAAATACACAATATAAATTTTATATGTTTTATTTGGTTTATTTTCTTGATAATTCAAAATATTTATTCTCACTTTCAGCATGCCACTTGGGATTTGCAAGCATGTAGAAATGCTTAAAATCGTGACTTTTTATAATAATATTAACAAATATGTGTGAATAGTTTATAAAAGAATTTCAAATAATTAATGTAATTTGACAAATCCTTAAATACATAAACAACGCACTAGAGAACACATTTGTGTCGAGTATTTCGGTTTCAAAATTGTCGGAGTCGTGGAGTTGTTAAGCGGATATAACTCCTTCCTGAAGCGGAGTCAAATCCGAGTCGATCCGGCTTCGGATATGATAAGCCCATCTCTAATATATATATATATATATATATATATATATATATATATATATATATATATATAGAATTTTATGATATGAGTGGAACGAATATTAATTGTTTAATATGAACAAAACAGCACTCAGATTTGTTTAACACAACTTTATTTTATGATTACAGACGTTTCGAGACCATGGTGTGTCTCATCTTCAGTGTAATTTCAAAAACAGTTACTTATATACTACACATTCTTTAATAATTTATTTAAATTTCATTTAATTTTTGGTATACAAAAAACACCAACTATTCCTTGCAATGCTTGACACAGTACTAAAGAAACATATAACACTTACAGAAATATTCTAAACAAATTTGAAGTACTTATATAGATGGAGACAGAGAGGGTATCATTATAATGTAAACAAAAGGAGTGCTATCGCATACAAAATCGATAAAAATGAAAAAACAAATTAATTTATTGAAAAGAATAAGATAAATGAAAAAAATTATAAATTATTAATGATGTTTATATAAGTGTCATGTAAAATATTTGTGTCGGTTCTTAGATTTATGCTATTGTTAGTCCGAACTATTAACATTGATTCTGCCATGCTCCGTTTAAATAAGTCTTTCTCATGGAATAAAATTTGGGGATTGTCAAAATCAAACTTATGGTTGTTGATATTAGCATGATCCACAAGTGCACTTTTAAATTTTTTGTTATCTATTTTTTCACATTTATTCATTTATCTTATTCTTTTCAATAAATTAATTTGTTTTTTCATTTTTATCGATTTTGTATGCGATAGCACTCCTTTTGTTTACATTATAATGATACCCTCTCTGTCTCCATCTATATAAGTACTTCAAATTTGTTTAGAATATTTCTGTAAGTGTTATATGTTTCTTTAGTACTGTGTCAAGCATTGCAAGGAATAGTTGGTGTTTTTGTATACCAAAAATTAAATGAAATTTAAATAAATTATTAAAGAATGTGTAGTATATAAGTAACTGTTTTTGAAATTACACTGAAGATGAGACACACCATGGTCTCGAAACGTCTGTAATCATAAAATAAAGTTGTGTTAAACAAATCTGAGTGCTGTTTTGTTCATATTAAACAATTAATATATATATATATATATATATATATATATATACATATATATATATACATATATATATATATATATATATATACTAGCTGACTAAAATTTGACCGATTCAAAAGTTTTTTTGATATCTTATCCTATACTTTTTATTATTCTACTTAAGGCCCTGATTTTGTGATTGATATATGTCATTAGCATAAGCTATGCGTATTGTAAATCGCAATTTTTTTATCAGAATAAGAAATTATAAAGAACTAATATAGTAGCTACGATAAAAGAGCAATATCACCTTTGATTTTTCCACCCTTAATTGGGCTTCAGTAACATTAATCTATAACTTTTATAATCTCGTACCATATATTAGCTGTTTTCTGGCAATTATAATTATTATTACTTCAATTCAAATCTTAGGTAAATTAATTTGTAAAATCTAGTTCATATGTGCACTATTGAATCTCTGTTCAGATCATGAACTTGCTAAATATTCCATATCAAATGCCAAACAAATGAATTTTTGACACATTAAACAAAATTCTAAACCATTTTTCTAATGAGTAGACATCGTTTTTTGTATTATTGAATAATTTTGTGAATTAAAGCAAAATACAACATGCATAAATTTAGAAAAAAATATTAAAGCAAATTATATACTGATAATAATATTGTAAACATTACATTTTTCTTATTCTACAATATTATATTCATTTACATTAGAAAAACTTCCCTTAACAAACTCCAAAAATCAAATTATAGTGAAAAATTAGTTGAAGTTAGTGTTCTAATTCTACACTAAGATTAACTAATTTTCCACTGAGTGAAGGCTAGGATTATCCGAAACGTATGCTTGTAAAATAAATATTTGAAAGAAATTCATGTTTTTCTATTGATGTTATGCCCGATTACAGACAGTATCACACCAGGAAAAACACTCGCAAAAAAGTAAACTAACATTATGTAAAAAGCAAAATATAAATTAAATAAAGTGAAAAAATTATAAAGGTAAAACAGAAAGAGAGTCTCGTTACATGATATCAGCACATGATGACACACATACGGTATCGAAACGTATAAATAAATAAATCATTATTTATTGTTCTTTTAGTTCGACGACTGGCTGCAAATTAAAATTTCAAGATTATATAAGTAATATGTTTTTTGAATCATTCAAATTGAACGTTTCGTTCCCTCAAAAACTGTATTACCATTTTTAGATCTTTTTGCCCCGTATCTTCAAAAATGCTAGACCTGCATTTGCCAAAAACTAATCGGCACGTCTCCTTATCAATACGAATCGAATGTTTTTTAAATTTTTCAAATCGGTTAATCCGTGTTCCCGAAATCGTCGACGAAAATTTGTATCCGCACACACACAAACATATACACACACACATACATCCATTTTTTCTAAGGTACGCCAAAATGTTCAGAAGCCTTTTAATATAAAAAATTTTATTTTCATTTTTTTTGCGATTACTATAACTCACCCTACGGGAAGTTAAAAATTACATACTATAATTACATAGCATTCAATAATATTAATCTAAAATACCCTAAAAATTAATTGAACATACTCTGTCAAAACCATTTGACATTTGACGTATGAGCCACAGTCGATTGTTTCATTTTGAATTGCGCTCCTACAAAAAAAATTGAATTAAAAATGTAAATTTTCTTTCGCACAATCTTTGGATTAGCACGAATTTTTCAAGACTAAGACTGGCCAAATCCGTCCAGCTATTTTAAAGCCTTATAATATCTAACATTTTGTCGAGCTCCATTTTTATATATATATATATATATATATATATATATATACACTAGCTGACCCGACAGATGTCGTCCTGTACCCACGTCGTCAATTCAAAAGTTTTTATGATATTTTATCCTATACTTTTTATTATTTTACTTAAGGTCATGACTTTGTGATTGATATATATCATTAGCATAAGCTATGCGTATTGGAAATTGCAGTTTTTTGACCAGTATAAAAAATTATAAAGAACTAATATAGTTTTTTTTTTATTTCACTTTATTTTAGCAATCATAAATACAAAAATAATTTCTATAAGCTAAACTGTATATTGAAATAAGTATGATATTATATAAGATAATTCAGTGATATATCTTACTTCTCATAAACTTATCTATGTCTTACTTAGTTTACATAAAATCGAATGCCCATATCCTTCTCAGTCTTCTTTTTTTTTTTTTTTTTTTTTTAAAAGATGATGGACGGTAGTGTGGGATTTCCACCCACTAAAAAACCTCCTCTCCTCATTCCCCCGCATATGATCACGAGGAAGACTGGGTCGGAACCGCGTTAGCATTTCTTCAACCCAGTCCGTGTTGCGTCACGTGACGTTAGCTCCTAAGTTTATTGGTCCCTCTCGGCGATTTTTGCTGTCAAGAGGCGCCGTGCATAAGCTGCTACCTCGGCCCAGTTTTCCTTGCTTTGCAGCATAGTATTTACAATGTCCTGGGGATTAAGGGTCCTTCCCAGGGACAATTCGGTGTCG